ATTTGATATCAGATTTTTTTAAATTCAATGTGGCGAATCGAAGATTTAGGGTATGGTGTCAAATTTTATCTTAAACACCAAAAGATACAAACTTCCATTGAAATCCAACTATTTTTCGAATTTCCATCCGCCATATTGCAATTGTCATTTTCCATTTTGAAAATCTGGTTTCACGTCAGATTCGAATTCACTCCTAGCATCGAAATAATAGAGTATTCCTATTTCGATGAATACCCGGTATATTGTTCAATAGAAGAATATTTCCCACGTATTTTTGAGACAAGCGGAATGACGTATTCATTACTTAAAGAAATTGCATATTAAATTGTTAGGATAATGCAATGAAAAGTGATTAAAAAATTTCAAGATTTTTTATTAAGTATCCATAAGAATTTTATTCACTGTTACCACCTAGAAGCTAAGATATCTTTATAAAAGTATATCTATATAGTACAATTTCGTCTACCTTCTTTAATAGTATATCTTTAAACTAGATGGTAAATAATTTTGAAATTTCCCACGGACTATTAAAGCGTCTGCGAAGAACATATACAAAATTCAAATGCGTATCTTAGAAATGCCCTCATGATCGTACTACCTTAATTCCTCTGATTAAATTATAACTTGTAACAAATTTATAAATTCTAGAGTTTCGATTTAGTAATACATGAGGGCTAGACTCCAAAGTTTTGGGTTCTAAGTTACGGTTAGTAACCCTAATTAAGCTGCTTTTGATCAAACAAGTGATTCACATAGGGGAAACATTTTTCCTCGTAGTACTCTTCAAGTGTTACGCCAAGCGAACCCAAATTAAATGTTTTCTTTAACTTATATTTAAATTAAATTAAGTTATATTATTTCAAAGTTTAGTTTAAAAGAAATTTCTTTAAATAATTGGTTTTGTCACTAGGCATTTGTATTTTCATCATCGATTTTTAAAATCAATATCATTCGTACTTTTGTCTAATGATTTGAAATAGTGATCGTGACGTCATCGCAGTTTCACATGTCACTCCATCTTTAAGAATGGACGCTAGTACGTATGGGACGATTTAGGTCAAATTCTTTTGACTTTAGCCAAAGTTCAATTAGACCCAAGGGGTTGAAATCCCTTGTTGTTATAAATAGCATACTGTCGTTAATTATCGTTATCATTTGCTCCTTCGAAATGGGCTTTTTGTTAGTATACCTTTGACGAGGGCACAGCAATGATTAGGACAAAGGCTATGTGTTAGGAACTCTAGTAAAATCCATTACTAGTGGGTTGTGAAGTCACTTAGAAATTTGAATACACAATAGAAATCCGCCCTAACGCACTCACCGTGGCCGTAAGCGCGTAACCCATGAATTCTTTGTTACGATATGTATAACTAGAATGAAAAAAAAACAATGTCAGAATCTTTGGTATCGTCATAAATATACAAGCCCGGAATACGATATCTTTTTGCAGCGGCTGGGATCCGTAAATAATTCATCCCCGTGAACGTACCGATAGGAGATCAACGAAGAAAAAGATTTTCACCCTATAAATCTGGTGGCCGTCGTAGGAATTTCTTCCAATCTCTATGCTCTTCATATTTTTCTTTTCTTTCCTTTCCCACCTTTCCTATTGCCGTAGGGCTAGTATTAAAATTTATACAGCAAGCATCATAGGCGGGTACAGGAGGCAGAATTCGGTCAAAAGAGGCAGAATTCTGCCTTTCTCTCTTCCCTACGAAATAAGGCATTAGTAGAACTCTTATTGTTCTTCGTCCCTCCACGTTGAACAGTTATGACGCAGGCATATTACGTACGGCAGTTAGAAAGAGACTTTGGAAATAAAATACTTATACGTATGTATTTTGATAGGAGTTAAAAAAATGATATGCACCCTTTTATGAATGCATTACAGAATCCTATATAAGTATACATACGTATATGCGGTTCTTGCCTTACATTTGCCACCCTCGTGCAACCCCCGTACGTATATGAATCCTGCAGAAAGAAAACTACCCCTGCTACCCCACTACTATCTGCACTCGCAACTCCCGAAGCAGAACTAACGTAGTTTACGGGGTTGGTTCTCGTCTCTGCATGCTTTGCCGAAAACATTCCCCCTATATTTTCAGGAACCCCCATCGCCAACTATCACCACTACGTTCCGACTAGGAATACTTTTTTTTTCTTTTTCTTTTGAATCCACCCTCTAGGAGATTTCAGTTTTTCTCGCAGTTCGTTGTGCGACATAAATTCCCCGACTTTTTGAATCGTCCTTTACGAACGTCACTACCGGTTCCTTAGTCGCTTCGGTATTGAGGCTTTTTTCATTTTTTCTGTTTTTCCTTTTTTTTTCTGTACAGCATCTATCAAGACTCTTAGAATTTTTTTTTTCTCTTTACCATTCACGCGGCTTCCTCTCTACACCTCGCTATATTATCGAAGTTATTAAGATCAAGCCGCTTCGTGTTGTAAGGATAACCCTAAATTTGGTGTGATCGGAAAAACATTAAAATTTTGCCGCCATACCAAATTCAATGAAATGCACGATAAAAAATATTGGCTTATCCAATATATGCAAAGTGCACTCGGCAACTGGAATTATTACTTTTCCCTTTAGACGAAATTCCAAAAAGATTTTCCACCCTTAAGCCAAGGGCGAATTTCTCAAAAGTTTTTCGCAATTCGACACATTTCCCGGAGACGCGGTTACGTACAACTCTGGTTGGGGTCGGAGGGGGGTGGATTGGATTACCGTGAGGCCTTAGGGGATGCGAGGGTGAGTCAGTGGACGCAACGGGATGGTCTGGTGAGTTGCTTGGCCACGGTAAAAAGAGGGTAGTTTGAAGGTAGACGAATGAAAGTGTGCGGACAACGTGACACTCTTCGGTGGACTAGCTTTCTGCGAGATAAAGAGGGATGTATTTCGGGAAGGGGATGAAACATGAAAGAAGGAACAAACGAAGGACGAAGGGACGTATGAGGTAGGAAAGGAGAGAGAGAAGATTCTCTTGTACGTACTGGCATATCGCTATGGTTGATATATATAGCTACCTATCAACCCCCCTATACTTACTACCCCTTCTCGACCGAGGATAAACTGTGGGTTTCGCTGGGTGCCAAGCAGTGGGTATACGTACCGAAGAACTAGGTATTGCGCAGTGACGCAAACAAAAACCACCCCCAGTTGTGAAGGAGAGTCCCACGTCGGGACGCCGGCAGGGATGAACGCCGCTATCTCACCGCAAAACACATAAACTTGGCGGAACAGAAGGCAAGAAACTTAATTCACTGGAAAATACTCGACAGCTTAAGGGTAACCTCCCCATAACCTGTCTACGTATATATGTATATATACAATATGTATATTTAAGGGGTATACGTGACGACCATACCTTCTGACTATGATAAGCTTCCCCATTAGGTATAATTATAAAATACGCCATATGTCACTCGGATGGGTGTTCATGTAGAGGTACGAAAATTAGTTAAGAATATTCTACTATTTTATGAGTCAACAAGATTTCTTAATCATAAAATAAATTACCAGCTCGTCAGATACGGCTGGTTTGCAGATGATCTATAAAACGTATCATGATATTGTACACTGTTATATTTTATAGCTGAGCTTCGTTACCCAATTGGCTATGGCAGGTGTTCCGGCAAATTGGAGTATTAATAGGATATTGAGTAACTGAACTCGCTATAGCAAGGAAATACGTGACATACCTTTTACCGTGATATGTATAGTTTGGGTATGCCATGTATGATATCGCGTGCGCAATATAGGAAATGCACTAGAAATTTCCAGAGAAGTTCTCGAGCCGAAAATTAAACGAGTACTCCTTTCTCTATTATACACTGCATACCACCCTCCATCCTCCGTTCACCTCTTGCCAAAGGCAGTACCCATTCCAAAGTTTCTATTCAGTCTTAGTCTGTCTAATTCTCCCAGCGACTACTAACCTCGACCGTTTTACTATTCTGAACTTTATAACTGCCGCGTTTTCGAAACCCAACCGGAAGTACTCTTCTAATCTTTGTTCCGCTTCCATTAAACCTCTTAGGTAAAAGAAGAACGATTGTTAAATTTGTTCTTTCAGCTTTGGCTTCTGTGTTCGGATTCTATATGGAAATGAATTCGGTCGAGTGTCTGCTGTTTCTGGAAAACGCTCTACTGTCGATGCCGCAAGAAATACTGCTGACAAAATGCATTGAGTCTGCTACAAATTAGTCAAAATTTACAACCCTCTACTTCGGCCAAGTTGTGGTACACCTGGCAAAACATTATATAATTTATTAGCCAAGAGACTTCATACAGTGGTTGTTTCTGTAATCGCGGTCAGTGCTACTATAGCAGGGGAAGATTTCGGATTGGCGGAGAGAGGGTGGCAGGGGTCCGGGGATGGTTTCAAAGCTGGTGGCAGACTTCCTGTAATCAAGAGTCTCTACGTTTTTTGCTGGAAGTCAGGAGTTCCGAGTATTTCTAAGGGCGGGAAGTAAGAAACACGTTGACGTCGGAAGGCAGGGCTAAGTGTCAAGGAAACTTTGCGATAAGTACCATACCTACGTCGAGGAAATGTGTCGCTTCGGCAAATCTGATAAGAGGAACTAATTTAGGACGTTGGTTGGTAGAGAACGCATTTACACAATTTTCTTTGAACTTCTTGCCTTCAAGGTCATTCTATACCTTACGAAGTACACGATGCGCGGCTTGTCAGGAATTTTTGGAGATTAAGCTACCTAAGCCTGTGAGAAGTTTTTCACTTCTGTCAACTTTTTTCCTTTCCTTGGATCGTCTTCCCTGTCTCTTTCGACCAGAGCGTCACGACTGACGTCAAACTCGTACTCGATTTTCGATCGAACTTCTGACAACCCGTCAGGCGAAACCTAAGAAACTACTTCTGCTATTCCGTTTCTTGAGCCATGCGAGGATATACTTCGATTGCCTGAAATCTCTTTACCAACATTTATTCTTCAATCAATCTCACTCGTGGAGGGAAACGAAAAAAGTTTAAAAATAGTTTGCTTGGAAATATATATATTTATACATATATGCACTAATTTTATGTATCTCAGGATGGAAACAAAATCAATGACATTTTTTCAAGTACTACGAACCTCGCGTAATGTTTTAAGGGAATGTTAAATTAAACTTCCTTTTTGTCAAAGTGGAAACAAAAACCCAGCGGATTGCCGCTTCCTTGTTGCGTGCTAAGGTTTCCCGTTTGCACTTCCCATTCACCCATTTCCTAAAAATTATATTCATAACGATCAAGTGCATTTGGTATAAATAAAAAATAATTAATTAATAAACCACAATCCAACTGTGTCATCAAAGATTAACGATACTTGATACCTGAGCCAAGTTGCAAGCATTTTCATCTGCATCTGCAAGATCATCCCTCTCACAATCTATATCACTCACGGAACGATTAGAAAACTTTGAACATCTCAGAAATACATCGCAGTCAGTCAGCGTGATTTGAACTTGTCGCAGGGTGCCGTTATTTTCCTAGTGTAAAGAAACAATGGTGGTAATAATTAATATAAAAAGCTTCTCTGTGAGTAACGTAGGGCTTCAGAGTGCAATATGATGAAAATGCAAAAACAATGGGTAATAATATGAACCGAGATCAAACGAGATCAGGATGAGTAGAATGGTATAGAATATCTAAGACATGTCGAGGAATGGATACGTAAGGATAGGAGGATAGGAGGAGAGTAGGAAACGGATAGGAGGTTTGGCATCGCGAGCGATAAGGCGCTCCGAGTCAGGCTTTGCCCGACTTTCCTCGTCCGTCGCTTCGGCTTTTCGCAAAGCTTAGAATCGTTGCCATATGCATTCGCCTTTGCGTGTTCGAACTAAAGTCATCTATGACGCGCAGAGACAAGCGCGTTCGATAATTTTACTTTGAGCTACGTGAAGCATTTACATTTCATTTTGTATACTCGTACGTGAACGCTGCAAAGTGATTGATGTTCTATGATAATGAATATGGAATTTATAAGATAAAATGGTGGAATGTCAACTTTACTTGGCCGTGTCCGACGTCTGCTGTAATTATTACGTCATTGCCTTCGGATTGCAGAGCTATCTGTGAAATTGCCCAGGCACCCTCCTCACATTTGTCCATTGATGTATATTTGACTTCCTGAGAATGTGGGGTGCATATTCAAATTTGTGTTACTATTACATTGTTTTTTTAATATTTTAGGAAAACATTAGTTTAAACTAGTTGTATTTTTGAGATCTATTGTTTGGAAGGAGAATATATATAGAGGGTTGTTTGAGATTACTTGATTTTTGTGGCAGAACTAATATCAAATGTATGCCCCGAACGTATATTTATATGAAAAAGTAGAGTTTGACGAATTTTCTGAAATTTTGGAAAATTCTTATTAAAATTTGTAAAAAGCCTAGGACAATGACAAAAAAGTTAGTTAAGAGAAACGCAAAGAGTTGTAATAAGAGAAATTATAGAATCCAATCAATGCATGAAAAATAGAGTTTTCCTATCATATTGTACAAAAGTCACA